CAATCGTACCGATGGAGATGCCGAATGCAATTTTCGAAATGAGTTCACTTGCACTCAGCAGGGCGGGGCTGAGGACGTTCGGGCCGGCGTACCGGTAGATTACTAGGGCAGTAACGAGATACAGTGATGTGTCCGTTACTTGGAAGGCAATCAGGGCCTTGGGGTAGTCATGTGGATCTGCCAGCTCGGATTGGAAGCTGAAGAATGACATGTGGCCGGAATAAGCAAGGATGATGTTGAGAGTAGCGGAGAAGCCGTTCATCAGGGTTGGGTTGGTGACGGCGTATGCTCTGGGATCAGGTGCTTCAATACCAATGGCAATCATGGTGATCATCACGGCGGTGAAGATTGATAGGGAAGCTAGTAGTTGTTAGTTTTAGTTTCAACAGCAGAAAAGAAACTGCAGGAAAGAGGTCTGTCATACAGATAATTCCCAGGTATGAAACTTCCTCTAGGCGTCTTGAGAGGGTCAGGATGAAGCAGAGAACGGTTCCCACCACACAGAAAATGATGGTACAAGCACCGTGGTTAGTAAGGGTGTTCATCATGATGGAGAATGTCAAGACATGAGCCCCCATAAGGAAGATGAAACAGATGACCTGGGCGACATTAACGATCTCACGACCCCAAGGACCGAATAGGATCTCTGCGGCATCTGCCATGTTGTGGACCTGAGGGTATCGCAATTTGAATTGGCCGACAACGTATCCGGTGTAGGTTGTCAAAGCTCCGATACCAATAATAATGATACAGCCACTGTCAGGATTAGCATGGGTTCATAAGCAAGTTGGGGGAAATTCTCATCAGACGTACGGGACTAAGCCCAAGACTGCCATCGAGGATGGGAGGGAGAGAACTCCCAATGAGACAGATTGAGCAATCATCACTATTGGCTGTTTAGCTGTGGTCCGTGATTGAATTTAGTTCATTTGGGGTGTGTGTACAAATTGCACAGTTCCTGCATGCAAATTTGATTAGCTTTCTGCATTGACTTGCTTCAAACACTGTATGTGTAGACTTACCACCATTTCATAGTCCTGTAACGCACTCCACCGACATCTTCCCCAGCGAAGGGATCTTGTGACTTATCTAGATCCATGACTTTCTCCATATCTTTCTCCATATCTTTTTCCATGTTGGTGTTGTCAAAGGGTTGGTCGTAAGTTAGCGTTGACTCATTGAGCACCGGCGGCGATATTTGGAAAAATCTCTGACAGCCATGGCTGGACCCACTATTTTCTTTGGTCTGGGGAAGAGACCGAAGAGTCCTACGAGACAGACAGAACGAGACAATGATTATTGAAAGATGTAAATGAAACTGAGATTTTGAGCGGAAGATTCGGAAGATTCGGAATATTGACCATTGACCTAGATGATCTTTTTATCAACTGATTCTTTACCCAAGTCTGAGGGAGGACAGTTGACAGGCATTTGGCCCTGTGCCTGGACAATGGCTATCACATTGGAAGATATAAAAGAAACCCCAGATTCATACTTCTTCCCCGCATTAGGTGGAGTGTATCTGGAACGAATAATACTCTAATCTCTAATCTCCTATAAAAAAAGTTTTGTTGGCGTCTTCGCAAGGGGCATGCAGCACTTCCTGTTCCGTTCCGGTTCCGGGCCCACTCTCAGTCTGATAAGCTGGAAAACTCTTTACCGCGAAATCTGTTGAATACAACTGAACAAAATTAAGCAGGAAATGGTTTTCATAGAAAGAATATTTTATTCGTACTGTATGCTATTGAAAGCGGATTGTTTAACTTTCATCTCCCATTGTACCGAGTGATGCGCAAATCGTTCTCCCCGGAAGCGAATATCCGCTTCCGTGTTCCGTCCGGCTTACCGATCATTGAACATTACGTTAACTATTGGACCGAGGGAAATGTGGTCAGCCATCCTAGGTAGGTGATCTTTTCCTAATATATGGAGGAACTAGAGAGATCTGTTCTTGGCAGATCTTGGTAGTATCGTTTTTAAGCTACCTGGTCAAACGCATGAGACAATCGCCTCTCAACTTCTAGATATTCGGCCAATAGGCTACGACTTCAGCTATCCTACATTTTCTGGCGATATTAGTTTCTTGAAGTGCCTCTTAACACTGACTACTACTGAGTAATTCCTATGCCTCCTATTAGAGAGATAGTGGTGTCTAAAGGCGTATTTTATGATGTATGGAGGTGGACCACATTCCAACGTTCATCAAACATTGTTAATTATGCTTGAAGATAGATTCTAACAGATCACATTTAGTTCCAACTTCATCAGCGCGGTGCAGCGCAGGCCTGAATATAAAGGCTCAGCTCGCTGGTAGCGTAAATTATCTATCTCTGCGAGGGACGTACTGTGTTGGGTAGTCAATCTGATGAGTGGCTGTCTCTAGTGAGATATAAAAGCACAAACAAGCCACCCCAGATGCATTTTTGAATCACTATCATCATACCGGTGATTTACCTTCTGCTCTGAAAGTCGTGTCTGGGGTGAAAAAGAGATTAAGGAGTCGGGTGTCGTCAAGGTTTGGTGAAACTGAGAATACATCATGTATTCCTAAATTCGAGGGACTAATTTCATCTCTTGCAGTGGTAACTCAGCGGTAGAGTGTGAGATTGCAATGTGCATATATCTTGAAGTCCCGTGTTCGATCCACGGTCACTGCTTTTTTTGGGCTTTCTTTATTATTTTAGCAATCATGGTATATAACTCAAATTTTTTTAATATAATGTCAACCTGCATTAAGATCCACGGTTCCTCCACGCTCCTACTATATATACGGAGTAGTAGCTTCATATGCCTATCATGGAGTTTATGTACGGTAACCCCTGGTTTCCTTGTGTAGAAAATTAATTCTATATGACTAATGTTTCGTTCCTTGGGGGTGAGTACCGTTAGGGAAAGAAAACCATAGGCTGTATTGAGCTAGCTGCTAGAGAGAGAAAGATCAAACAAGGTATGGAACATTGAAGCTATCCGTCTGATGCCGAAACGCGGTCTCAACAAATACGTATTCGTAGTAATTCCCATAAATTACTGTATTTGTGATCATGTGACTTTCATACAAAACGTCATGTTGTTTCTAGAAATTCCAAATTTAGAGGCATGCGAAGCAATTTGCATCATATATTCCAAGGTTGATATTTAAAATGATGTGAAATGAACATATCCACGTGTGTATCTCCAAAAATTGTAGAAGCCCCTGTACTTTGTAGAGATTGGAGCTCAGTAAGTTCCACCTAAACCTTGTCCCAACGTAATGTTTATCACGTCACAGACCCCCCAGGCCCATGTTCCTTTCCCCATCCACAGTCCAGTCCGGTTCCCATACCTAGAGGTTAATTTAACCGCACACTTGAAAATTTTACCCCTATAGATTACCTCGCGATACACTCTAGGGACAATGCTCACCACTCACTGGCTACCAGCCGCCCGGCTGAACGTCAAACAAGCGCGAAAGTTCTCCTTGCTTTCCACCCATGCTTCATTCCCCGCGACCATGTATCGATACCAGCTAGAGCGCAAGGCCACACTATATGATGTGACCCAAGACGAAACCCGCCACAGGAAGGATGCAGTCAATGTATCTGCTGATGGGTTGGTTCATGCAGCAATCTCGAAGTCAAGCCCCTGTCTGTAAACTCCTGCCTAGTTCTGGTGCAATAGAGTCTAACTATCTACATATCAGACTCGAATGGGCCAGTCTTCATGCCGAACTCTCGTCTTATGCAGCAGATGCTGCGCTTTGATTTCGACCGGTACCAGGAAGAGATCAGCGACGGGAAAGCTCTTTTGGACCCCACTGTTATCTGTATTCCACGAGGTATGGTGTTTTCCATGTTTGACTTGCGTGAAGATACGAGCTTACGAGTTTAGGTACCCCCATCCCATCTGCGCTGGTACTATGGAGAGAGGGCATGTCCCGCTTCTCCCTGCAGCCTTCGAGTCCTATGGAAATCGAAAGTGAGTTTTTACACCAGACGAGAGGGTAGGTTGACCGGATATTAACGATTTACAGAGCTGAACGACGCGCTCAGCGAGTTCTATGAGAAATCCGGTACAGTTGTCGGCGCACAGGAATGGATTGAGAAACATCCATACCGGGAGAGTTCTCCTGACGACAATGAGAAGGGATGGATGGAGGTGTAAATATCTGGAATCTTGCTATATCAACTGTAAAATACGTACAGAAATGCGTGGATGGCATTATGGACTGCAGATTACGTAGACACCACTTATTGCCTTGGCATTCGAGGCTACCTGTAAGACGAAGCAAGTTGAAGTATCGCGGGCTGGTGGTTGAGTGCATGCAGTTATCTCTCTTGTTTCAGCCGGTATCGCGGTTATGGCAGGGGAAAGTGCAGGGGGAGGAAAGTGCACAGGTCGGCGAACATATTCCACCGCGCACAACCAACCTGTCATGTATGGTTTACTCACATCTGTTACATGCCCAATGCTCAATATCACATGGTATCGAATCCTGGTAACTATTTCGATTTATTTGCAGTATACCAGTGGCGTTGGATATATATATTTCAAGTTTTACCCGCAAATGTAATGGATTGTCGTTGGTGTGAAATTTAGCCATAGGCGACTACAGAGGATTTCCTCACAAAGTAATCTAGGTAATCTAGCAAATTTTGAATTTTGAAGACATAACAACAGTCCTAATAGTCAGACACTTCACTGATAAAAAATGAAAGATGACTCTTGTAGCATAAAACGGCGCCATCATCCATCAACTAGCATCATTGGTCTAGTGGTAGAATTCGTCGTTGCCATCGACGAGGCCCGTGTTCGATTCACGGATGATGCACAACAATTAATTTTTTTAATTTTTACATTGAATTCCTGGTGGTAATGGGTTGCCCTAATCTTTTGTAGATCGTCTAAAAGTTGTAACCGCTATTCTAGCAACTTAGTGAACAAAGGCGGATTTTTAACGCGTGTGGGTTTGTTCCAGCAAACTACATTGACTTATCTCTAGCGGATCATAGAATTGCTGTAGTCTAGTGCACCATCGTGCTGCCAAGCCAACCCTTCGAGATCGTTTCCAACCCGTCCTTCAACCAATCCGTCTCCAACGTTGCCGCAAAGTCAAAACCATGATCACCTTCTTCGCCGTGAAGCTTAATAATTGCACCGGGCGCTTTTTCTCGCACTAAATCATAGAACCGCTGAGAGCCTTCAAATGGCACGGCTGAATCCTGTTTTCCATGGAAAATGAAAGTTGGAGGCAGTTTCAGATTTCCGGCTGCAGCGAGATTCTCAACCCTGTTCATCGGGAAGAGATTGTCTTCCGACCCGAGGAACTCTAGCAATCGACCATTTTGAAATACTGAGAATGCCAGCTTGAGACGATCTGGGGGATTTGCAGCAGTAATCACAGTGGGTGAGGGTGCAGCTCGCATGGCTGAAATGTGTTCTTCAATGATCTCATTCGGAAAGTTGGGCACTCCAAGGATAGGTTTGGGATATGCCTCTGTGTAGAACTTTGATTTCACATCAAGAACTGGATAGGCTGCGATGACAGCACGAATTTCCGATGGGTAACTGAGTGCCAGTTGCATAGTCAGATAGCCGCCTGATACTCAAATTAGATCCCTTGTTCGCCATATTAAATACTACCACAGCAGACTTACCCGCGCTTTCCCCAGCGACGAGGAGCCTATCAAGGTCTGGGGTAACATGGCCGTCGCTAGCATCTTTGATTGTTTCAGCAAATTGCGAGCTGTGAACCCAATGCCAAAAATCATCCATGTCTTCCAATATATCTTTTCCGGATACTTCGGGCAGCAAACGGTAGTCTGGAGCCACAATAATTGCCCCTGTTGATATGGCGTAGTCTAATGTCCAATTGGCGAACCAAACAGGATACCGACTAGAACCGGTGACCTGTAGATTCGGTTAATTCACGATCAAAGGGTTGTAACGTAGTCTGCTCAGCGCAAGTGTAGCTCATACCAAAAATCCGCCATGGATGCGTACCATGACTGGACATTTCGAAAGATCTTGCTTCGATAATATAGTCTGAGGGATGAAAATGTCGGCATTGATGTGAGAACGACCCTCATCAAAGCTTTTGTAAGCCGTGTTGATCACTTTAAATGGGATATATTTATCAGCGTTGTCAAACATCGAAAGCACTTCCACCAGATGCAGATAAGGATCGGTTGCCATTTTGACGCTTAATGTGGGGAAAAAACAAACAGAAAAGGTATGGAACAAGGAGGAACGGAACAAGGAGGGGTTTCTCGTTTATATAGCCCTGCCTTTCGCATGGCCTAACACCATTTTGGAGTCGGGGGCGAAAGCGAGAGGCCGAGTACTCCGAGACCCACATAGTCCGGGATGTTAACCAGTTGAGATAAGCTTTGGAGATGCCTAAGTGGCCATGTAGATTGACTACATATATGTATGTAAATAAAATGAGATCCGGACTAGCTTGCGATTGAGACTTGACCAGATATTCATATCTAGGAATTATCTGCACTATTACGCAAGGAATTACACAGGAAATTGAGTGTATTGTATTTTGGATTAATAACCGTCAAATACTAACCAAATAGTTAGCGGGTTTTGTCTTTTTAATTAGAGGTGTGAATATCGGTCATCCATACCATACATTGTTCGTACTACAAATATAGATGGACACAGACTAATATTTAAGCTACGAAAAAGGGCGACGAGGGAGTACTTCAATAGTGCTCACCTATAAAGATATCTACTTGCATACCGTCAGCAGAATATAGCCACAACACAATAATAAGGCTTCTTTTAGCCTCTGATTCCGTGGATATTAATACATCCATGATAATTGAGTAACACTACTTCCCTTAGCTGCACATACGACCCATCTAGGTGTGGCCTTGTGAATCCCCGTAGAGTCCTCCTCGATAATCAAAAACTAGATTCGGACTATCCTGATGCCAACGAATAAGCGCCTCTTTAACGTCCTTATAGATACTGCTCTCATTCGCTGCGAGGGAGTTGATATCTGCATTGAATGGAGTGAGTCATCTCCGAGAAAACTAAGTGACGCGTCGTCAATAAATGTACCTTTCCGGATTTACTAATATCTCCGAAACATGCACGTTATAGCCGAGCAAGTGGTAAATGCCATTGGTGGGGGAACATTGCCAATGCCTTGTGCAAATAGATATTGCGAGAGATGGCAACACAGCCTTCTTTGATTGATAGATGTTATGGAACTAGCACGGCAGCCAGGACAAGAACATTGAAAAGAGACATGAAAATAAAGGAGGTGAACAGGAACAAGTACGTAGTGGAGACGTATAAAGTATGCAAACAAAACAAACAGCTATCCGCATATCGGTGCGCTTCCCCGCTGTAAATCGATTGCACGACTAAAGGAAAAAAAAAAGAAAAGAAACAAACCCCGGCTATTTTGGCCTATTTAGCTGTCCAACTCGCCCTGCAACTTGTCGCAATATACACCTCTCCATTGATTTACCACCGATAGACCGGAACCCCCGGTCAAGCAACAAGATGGGCAAAGATGGGTCCGCGCCACAGGGCGTCACATCCCTGCTGGACACAGATCTGTACAAGCTGACGATGCAATGCGCGGTTCTCAAATACTTCCCGAATGTTTGTGAGTAGCTCTAACCGAGGAATGGGGGATCTGGGGCTGATCTGGGCGCAGACGTGACCTACGGCTACACTAATCGGACCCCGCACATGAAACTGCAACGCGGCGCATACAAATGGCTGTTGGAGCAGATGGACAGTAAGGATATCCCTTCTTGTCGCAATTCTACAGCTTCTAACTAATGCGCGTCTAGAGCTGGCCGTGATTCGGGTCACTGCCGAAGAGCGTGAATGGCTCCGCCAAAAGTGCCCCTACCTCAATGACGAGTACCTCACCTTCCTAGAGACCTTCCACCTCAGACCCTCCGAGCAGATCAAGATCAAGTTCATTCCAGAACAAGATACAGGCAGTGATGACGATCAAGGCAACGTCGAATACATTGTCGAGGGTCTCTGGCTCGACACGATCTTGTATGAAATCCCGCTGCTGGCGTTGACCAGTCAAGCGTATTTCATGTTTACCGACAAGGACTGGGACTATGAAAATCAGGAAGAGAAAGCATACCAAAAGGGTTGCACTTTGCTCCAGAATGGCTGTGTGTTCTCTGAATTCGGCTCGCGCCGTCGCCGCGACTACCATACCCAGGACCTGGTTATGCAGGGTCTATGCCGTGCCGCAGAGGAAGGAAAGAAGCAGGACTGGCCTGGTGCGTTGACCGGAACTAGCAATGTGCACTTTGCTATGAAATACAATAAGAGTGCTGTCGGTACTGTGGCACACGAATGGTACATGACCATTGCGGCTATCACGGACGACTACCAGAAGGCCAACGAGTTGGCATTGAGTTACTGGCTTGGCTGTTTCGGGGAAGGTGTATGTGATTTTCAAATTCCCAATATTCAGAAACGCCACAGACTAACTAGAAAAACACAAAAACAGGTTCTTGGAATCGCTCTCACTGACACCTTTGGCACGCCGGCTTTCCTGGATGCGTTCAGCAAGCCCATTTCAGCACCAGACCAAAAGGATGATATTAATCCGAATACGACAACATATGCTCAGAGCTACGCCGGTGTCCGCCAAGATTCAGGTGACCCAGCGTTCTTTGTCAAGCGGGTCCGGGACTTCTACGATAGCCAAGGTATTACCGACACCAAAACAGTGGTATTTTCAGATTCACTGGATATTGAGCACTGCCTGGAATACAAAGCAATTGCCGAAAAGGCAGGATTTAACCCTACCTTTGGAGTGGGAACATTCTTCACCAGTAAGTTTGAGTTTCGTAATCCTACAACACGCAACACACACTAACAAATTCCCAGATGATTTTATTACCAAATCAACCGGAAAGAAATCCAAGCCTCTCAACATTGTCATCAAGATCGCCACCGCGAACGGCAGTCCCGCTGTCAAGCTCAGCGACAATTTGGGCAAAAACATGGGCGATTCTGCCAAGGTCCAGGAAGTCAAGAAGAAGCTGGGTTATGTCGAGCACGAGTGGGAAGAAGGTGATGAGAGCCGCCGATGGACGAAGCAGGCATAGACTGTCTACCCTTGCCCTACAATTACCCACTGAGTCATAGAATATTTGCTAAACATCTGCTGAGCATGAGCCATGATCATACTGATATTCGAGAGGCTGTTATTGATTTTCGCTAGACATAATGTGCCAACTCCATAGAGAATAAGAATACATGATATCCTTGAGGATATCTCAATCCCATCCTTCAGGAATGAGAATTTCCAGTGATGTACACCCGAGTCATGCGCACTCAAGGCTTACAACACCTCCGCGTCCTCATCGTCCTCATATTCTCCGTCCTCATCGTCCTCATATTCTCCATCCTCATCGTCCTCGTATTCTCCGTCCTCGTCATCCTTGTATTCTCCATCCTCGTCATCCCCGTATTTCCCGCCCTTTTCACTGCCCTTTTCTTCGATCTCCCCTTCGTACTCTTCGCCCTCCTCCTTTTCGATCGGCACCTCCACACCCATCTGCTTCAACGCCTCACCAACAACCCTCATAGCAGACTGAATCTCAGAAATTTCACATGAAATCTCAGCAGCAGATGCATACTCCCCTCTCCAGCACCTCTCCACAATATGACCAGCGACATAATCATTATTTGGATACTCCCCATTGATAAAGCGAGCATTGATGGTATTCTCATCATCAATGCTATCCAACTCAGGGAAGACCTCATGGCCATTAATAAGATGATAGATGGTCGATCCGAGAGCGAAGAGATCAGTCCGATAACTCGCAGCCCAGAGATTCTCCCTCGGCATATACGACTTGGCGCACTCGCGCGTCAATCCATCAAGCATGGTCAATCCGGTCTCGCGCGAGATGACTAGACCCTGGAAGTCCGCGAGGATGATATCGAAGTTGTCGTCGAGGAGGATGTTGTGCAGACAGATATCGCAGTGGATGACGCGCCTGGAGTGCACGAACAACAGAGTATCGACGATCTGCTTGCACCATTCGAGGCGGCGGTCGAGTGTCTCGTACGGATGGTTCTTGATATGGTTACGGAGCGTGCCGTTGGGGTAGTATTTCAGGATGAGACCGTCTTCGGCGAGACCCTTGGGCTCGATAATGCGGGGGTGAGGACCGAGGATTTGCAAAATGCGGTACTCAATTTTGATACTCATCAGATAGTTTGGATCGTTGAAGTCGGAGGCGTATTTCAGGACCGATTTGTCGTTTAGTCGGCCGACATGGCAGGAGCCACGTGAGATCACTTCTTCCACGCCCGGAGGGATGCGTTCCATTGGATCTTCGTAGCTGCTTCTGCGGACTTGGCGGAGTACATGGCCTGTCAAAGTGTCCTGCTGGGAAGTATATTAGTTTTGCTTGTGGTTAGAGTACGTGTATGTTGGCACTCACGTTTTGGTTAGGGATATTCATCGTGCATGGATTTGCGTATCACAGTAAACGATGATGATGGGTCAATGTAAGGACTGACTGGATGAAGAGGAAGAGCATGATGAGAAATAGAGAGGAGAGGCAGGGGATATACTATACGCGCGTGAAAAGAGTAACAAACGATCTTGATGCTGAGCTGGAGAGAGCACACGACACATACAACGACTAAGCGCTTATACCAGGGACTGGGAACCTTTACTATAAAGTTAATCTTCCAAATTGGAATAGCTAAACAGTCTTCATTTTGTGCAATGCTTTTGATAGCTCCTGATGTTTTCCAGTTTTGTGTCCAGTGGCCAACAGGTCATAGTAAACTCCGAAGAGACATCTTCCTGAAAAGCTTCGGCTTCAATAAACATATTTCATGGCAACTATAGTTGTATAAAAGAAATCAACTTTTCAAAATTCTGATTGTAGAAATGCATGCAGGGAGCTAGACACCGCCCTTCCACTTTTATCTTGCCAATCCAATCCATTCTAGGCCTCATAGGCGCCATCCTGCCACTAGCTCTGGCAAGGTCTCGAGATCAACCATTTTCATCAACTTATCAATGGAGCGAAAACAATTCCAATGCCTGCGCATAGAGAAGCTTTATTACCACAAGCACAAGAAATTGCATTTGATTTCGGGAATCGGATAGCCTAGGTTTCTAGCGAGGGCCTTAGAAAGGACGGACTCGTCACACTGGACATAGCACAGTCTGTGGTGGCAGGCAGACCGGCTGGTAACTGATTTAGATCAATGATTAAAGTAGCGGATATCTTCGTAAATTAACATGATCGGCAGTTCTCTGGCAGTTCTCGTCAAGCCCCTCCGGCAAATCGCTCGGTGATGTATTTGCATGCCAGTCAGAGAATGCTAGCACACATCAGGAAAGGCTGGCACAAATAGAGCATTCAGATGGGTATAACCACTTGGCTGTATACAATTGCGGCCACTGCCTAAACAAATCGATGTATATATGGAAAGGGGCCTGAAACTGTAGAAATTCTTTTAGTCTAGCATTTGGAAGAACCATGGGTTTGGGTAAGCGGACCAAGTATGAAGTCGCTACATTAGACCTCTTTCACTTGCATATACATACCAGTCTATATCCACAGTGTGTGGGGTTCCTTCTCATTAACAAGAGATGAGAAGTGTCCCTTCCGGCATTGGAGAAACTATCCCTTTAGTTTCGGGACTAAGTCTGTAAAGTCTATCTCTAACCGATTAATATCGAAGTTATCGATATTAAAAGGTATGAATGATGCTATAACGTCTTCTTCCGTACCAGGGTACTCGTTAATAGCAGAGGGGTAGAGGGGTATTAAACGGTTGTCGATAGGACGGCGGTCGATAGGGTCGAACGGCCTAGTTGAGACAACGGTCAATAGAAATACATATACTACCGGAGTAGATACAGCGCGTAGTGTATTACCGAAGTAGATATACTACAGAGTGGAGGTCTCTCGACCAGTGAGAACTCTGATCGAGGTTCCATAGTGGGGCTGGTGCGACGCAAGGCATCGAGGATTGGAGGAAAGATGAGGCGTGAAGCATACAGTGATGTAGTGGCTTCAACGGTAAGGTGCTCATAACCTGTTGGAGAAGCTAGTAGGACTACTGTAAAGATAATGATGTCGGTAACATGAGGGAGGGCGACACAGACATCAACTTGAGCGGTCTTTTTATCTGCTTCCATTGTGCATCCATTGCACTTGGCTGCTTCCACCTTTTTATGTCTTTCTGATCATGATCAGGCGTTGTAGGCTATTTGTCTTTGGTTTGAGGTGGCCAGAAATAACGGGATGTTAGTGCTCAGACAATTTTCCAGATTTGGCCAACCTATAAATTTTGGTTCCAGCCTTTTCTCGAAGCTGGATGACCGTGACCATTGACGAAGTAAGGTTTGATTTCTCTCAGATCCCCGAGCTATTTTGGGGTGGCACCGCGCTCGCAGGGTGCCAGGACGTGTCGATCCCATACCATGGATAGACACAGCTCCACCTAGCCGTCGACAGTGTCACGTTCATCGAACGACTTGGGTAGAGACATGATGTTATCGAGACATACTTTTGAGCAGGACTGATCGGAATTTTACGCAGCAAACTCATACTGCGAATCACTTTCTCCAAGGTCCACAACATGTCGAATCCAGAATGACTTTTTTATACGGATCATAGATGCTCTACGATATGATTCTGGTTTCGAAGCGAGGATATTAACTAGGTTTGTCAATACTTCGAAAATAAATTGTGATTGGGAAATGGGAGACAAAGGGAAAGCAAAAACAAGAAGCTTACCTGACTGGAACCCACTCGGTGCTCAAGGGGATCTCGACCTTTCTGAGTGAGATCAAGACATACAAAAAGAACCATAGTAAATCAACCCAAACAGAAAGGTGGTTGGATTTGACAGCATTGTTCGGCTTATATATATGCGGAGGAAATATCCAGGAAGAGAGCCAGCATTGGTTGTGCAATACGTATATCATGCACAGCAAAGTCATGTTGGGTTCAGATAAGCATCTCCTTCCACTCTTACCACACCACGCGCACCTTCTGCACAGTGTTCGCGATGCTTGAGCGGCCCAAAGTAGCTGTATGCCTGGGGTCCAGCATCTAACACACTCTTCAGGATCATCATGCTTGAATTATATCGACTTGAAAAGGCCAACCACAGCCATCCGGGTTATGGTGCCAAAAAGACATTTTAGGGGATGCGCTAGGTATCTCTTAAAGCACAACGTGTGAGAGACGCTCAGGTGTTTGAGGTGTGACTAGATTTTGTTAGATCTGTAAAAGAGTGCTCCAAGAGACTTTGATGCCCAGCGCTATGTTACTTACTTGGCTCTTGATTCTCTATGATGGAAGGTATGAGGTTGATGTCAAGGGGAATCTGAGGGGCGCCCAAGATTTCATGTGTCCCAGAAGATTTCCGAAGTTGGAAAGAACCAGTATGACTTCTGTGAGGGGTAATATCCATGGATGATGGGTATCAGAAACTGAGATACCATAATAAATGGAAAATGACCGACTTGAAGGATAACTCTAGGAGGTGGTTCAGAGAGAGAGAAGGATGGCTCATGAAAACAATATATGCCCAGGTGGACAAACATAGTCACTCAGGCCCAGGCATGTGATTCACAAAGAATACGGTGCAATTATGCAATTATACAATTATGCAATGTATGTTTGTTTTGCTTGAATTTATGCCTTGCAGGTCATTTTCTTTGGTCTAGTGCATATATACGAAGGTAGACCCATCGTTATCTACTCCCATCTTCTTCCATAAAGAACCAGCCCTTGCATCAAATATCTCAGACCAAAAATCATGAATTGAGACACGACGACAACCAAATGTCAATTCGTTATATACACTAGAACATGTCATCCTCAGACTGGAACCCCAAATCCCGATCCAGATCGCCGGTAATTTCGGGCCTTGCATCATTCATTGATTGATGACGAGAATGAACTGAGCGAATGTCATCTGTATCCTCCAAAGTAAAAGAGAACGGATCGTGGTAGGTTTGATCATGATCTAGTGGAGGTGTTGTCTTTTCGGGCTTGGGGAAAGCTTCTGTGTTACTGTACTGATTCAAGTCGGTGTCTTGGAACAGCTCTTGTGCCCAATCGATGGTGTCTTGGTCTTGGGGTGGTGGTGATATATAGGGTTTATCTTGGTTGGGTTTCGTTGGATGGGGAGGGGTTTGAATATCGGGGAAGGAATCGATGTCGATGGAGAGAAAGTTGAAAGGATTGTTGTCTATGATACTGAGGTCGGAATATTGGTCGAAATCATTGGGGAATAAAGGTGGCGCAGGTTCATGTGTGCTTGCCACACTAGGATTTCTTTGATGCATGTTCTCTTGCGTAGATGAGGTTCGTGCTTGTGGCTTGGGAGTCTGAGTTACACTAGCAGGTAGATGTGGTTGGGGTTGGGAGATGGAATTGGCATTGCTGGGTTTCCTGGTTGCCAAAGATGTGGCAGGAGAGTCCAGGTTGTATTCCATGACTTCGAAGAATGTACTGGAGGCACCGGCCTGCATCTTGATGGCCGCCTCGATGTTGGCAAACTCTTGACCGGCGGCTGGATAAATATCCTTAAGACAATGAAGAACTTGGATACAACGATGGAAATTGTCTACACTGCTTTCGCGGACAGCGGGGTCATCGGACATAGTGTTGGTTAAATGCGCCACAGCGGCAGGTAGAATCACGGTCACTCCAGACTGAGGTAGGAACCTTGTCAGGTTAAGATGATTTAAGCCTTGAATGATATGTGTGATCCCCGCAGCAGCGTCGTTCATTTTTGCACGGGCAGCATTGCGCCAGTCCGTCCGCGATTTGGATTGATCTTTTGAAGCACTCGTCCAAGGCCGGTGAAGTGCGCTGCTAGTGGCATGGTAGAGCATGCGTAGCATCGCACCATGAAGTAGCAGCACATCCTCGCCATCATGGAAATTCTTCCCTGACTTCGGAATGAATTGGGCATCTTTAGGGAGCGCACTAAGCCATGAGTCGAGTTTCTGGCCGCATCGCGCAAACTCAGACTCGGAAGCCTGTCGAGGGATAAGTGTGACCGTAGTTCGGTCTGTAGCTCCAAACTGGCGTTGAGATGGTGTATATTGCGCAAACAATACCCTGCCAATGCATTGACAGAGCTTCACTTTCTCGATGAACATGGTGGCGAGTCGTTTTTGATGTGACACATCTTGGAGTTGGCGGCAATAGAACTTGGCAACCACATGTGGAGAGAAAGGTTCAAAATCAAAATCGTCCAGTTTGAGCATAGGGACACTGCTCGTTCCATCATTAACCTGAAGCGGGCGCCGCATACCCATGGCGATCAGTCGATCTCGAGAGTACAGACACCACCAGAGCCGGGAACGGAGCCTTCGAGCCCTTATATCAATTTTACCAGATGCAGGGTCTTTGTTTAAACCGATCGACTGTGCTTGTGTGTTACAGACTCCAATCCAATCCCAAATATCTCGCTGTGGACTATTCTCCGAATCAGACCAGTAGGTCATCAATAGCAGTGCTTGGAGAATCTCGATGCGATCCTCTTCGCAGTCGAGAGAATAGAGTAACTATCGATTATGAGTGAGTTGAATTATCTCGTAGCCGCTTGAAGAAAAACAAACCCTTAATCGAGTAAAGAACGCATCACGCGCACTTTTCCGGGTTGAATACCCGGCATCTTGCAGATGCTTGAGGTCGATGAAAGCCGTACCAACAAACATGACCGCCTGAAAGAGTAAGATGCTAACATTTCCCTCCGGGTCATTTTCAGCCACACATCGTAAGAACTCTTGCAAATTCAAGACTGGCATGAAGCTGTGCACCCATTGGATGTAGCAGCGAAGAAGTTCATCTCGCAACCCACTCTCTGGAAGTGAGAGAGCACCACGAAATCGCAAGAACTCTAAATCCTCCGGGGCGATGCGAGCTGGTAGGGGTTTTAAAAACTGGGGCTCATCGTCCAACATCGCCGTCAGTGGGTCAAAATCCGGGTCTATCAGGTCTTGGACGGCAGACACCATATTTGATAGGGGCATCGCGTACTGTACATCAGGATTCCCACGTGTCCGCCATATTCCGGTAGGTTCTGACTCGTGCAGCCATGGGGCTTGCGGATCGTATCCATGAAGATGGTGAAGCTTAGCTGTCGGCTCCTGGCGAGATTCTGCCAACTTGCGCTTAAGACCGGGGGTGGAAGACATAAGCTCTCATGTATCATTTGGCCCTGATTGGGAGTAAAAGTATGCGATTTCGTTACACAGAGACGTCAACACCTAAGCCGTTCTGCAAGAAGGCGGTGTTCGGAACCGGGGAAATGTGGGGGCGCTCTGCGGGGTCTTGGCGCCTGGGGAGATCGCCGCCCTTTCCAAATTTGATTTGTCACCCTTCATCTTGTTCCATTAGAGAAGAAATTGGTAAAATCTAATTGGCTGGATCTATAACAATTTCCAAGGTTAAATATGAATGAGGTGCATGATAATTTATATAGTTATTTTGAACATCTCCTGTCATAAAATACCTGTCTCTGTACGTAAAGTACCATACTTCCTCTGTCGGGTTGGGATTTCCCATCTCGGCACCGCTTTTATAAGGCTCACCGAGTAAATACCAGTAAACCCAACGTAATGAAAGCGATGGAGACATTTATTAAGCACTAACTTCCGAAGGAGCTGTTGGTACCCACAATACCGTTTATCGGTGAAACACTCTCAATTTTCTGATGGCCCTGCGCAACCGCTCGACATAAAATCTGGGAGCTCTTTTCTTGCGTCATCTCGTTCTAACGTGTATTTTGAGTGTGGCGATCGGAGGATGGAGCTCTTTCAGAAATGGAGGCATATCAGGACAGACGGCCTTTCAGTTGCTTATTTAGAGTGGCACGTGCATAAGTACCCATTTAAAATTGGATATATTTATAGCATTCACACAGTCTTCACTACCTCATCCATTGCTTCAGCTTTCTCGCTCTATCTTTACGCTTCTTCGAGTACTTGCTCCGTCATGGGTAGTAAACTCTTCTTTACTGAAAGGAAGAAGATTGCTAAAGAGAAGCGCTAGGAACTAGGAGAGAGTAGCTGTGGTTTTGGCGCTCGAGTAGATGTGGATTCTACCGAAGAGAAAGATCGGGAAATAGCTGACACTAAGAGGATATACCCATCTTGTTTAATCAAATTGTTCTAGCATTGGAATCATTTTTAGTATGGAATGCAAAGATATGTTTGTCCACCCGACCATTCCATGCCCTGTTGTGTCGACTAAGGCGATGCGCTAGATGGGGTGTGTCAGAGCTGTAGCGGAAATGGTCATGCCTGAAGTACTTATCGAAGCTGTAATGGTGGTAGGTACATGAATATTTTAGGCGAGTGTTCGTATGATTTGCATCGGTGTTAAGAGTGACAAGAGGGAATAGATGAATGTCATGCATTTTTATTGGGTAGTAGCTCTACGTACCTCATGCGAGTGCGTATCTCTTCAGGGCCATCTTGAATTGGAGAATGGATGAGGAGGAAGAAGAGGGTCCTGCTAGACCTGTGGTACCCTGATTGAATATAAAGGTCACTATAGTGCGTTGCCAAGATAACCTTGTCAAGTTATATCGCTCTCTATTTCAAGCATTAATTTAAGATTGCTGTAACTCTCTTGTTTTACCTTACGTATTAAAAGGCGCCTCACATAGATTCAATATTTTAGACAAGAAATGTATACATTTATCTCTACTTGTTGCAGCCACTAACGGCCATCCATTTAGTGTTGCCCTCTGATGATCGATATTGATACTATCGAGGAATGTAGAAGAAGTGGACCCTATTGTAACCAAGCGCGGTAGCCTAGGTACCTATTTCCGCCCCTTCCAAATCTGTAGGGACTAGATCGTAATTATCATAGACCAAGGATTGGATTGTACCACAGCCGGACATCCAGCAAATGGCAAAATTCCTGATATTCATGAATCTCAAAACAAGACACAGCATGTCGGATAGTACATGCCCTGCCAATAAAATATTGTACACATTATCCAATCGAAAAACTACCGAGCGAAAGATGCCCACGCATCATATGTTTTCCTTTGACCGACGCCGATATGCTTCCACAGTTTCAAAAGAGGGAGTCCGAGTCGTGTCACCGGAGGTATAAAAGGCGTGATGATTTTACATACTGCGCGAAGTTAGATGATGTCCATTCGGCTGATCTCGAATCTCGATGCGAACGTGTCGGGTTGGCTAGACTTACGGAGGAAGGAGGAACTCTCCGAAGCTGGAGTGGAGGAACGCGATGCCGGCCTAAAACAGATACCGTTAGTTTCATGGATTACAACGGGACGTTGAAATTGTTGAGTAGCCAAGACGTACACCGAAGATGACGATGCTGCGGACAATGGTCTTGTTTTCGGGGTTTGTGGCCTCGTCGTAGAGGGTGCTGGCGAAGCCCTTCTGAGGGCGAGAGCCGGAAGGAACGATGCGCTGGTTGGGGGCCATTTTGTATGTGATGTGAGAGACGAAGGTAGAGGACTTGTGTTGATGTTGATGTTGCAGTGATGATCGGACGTCGAGAAATCTGCGGCCTCGGAACGCTTGGCGTCACTGCGTCTTTAGCTCTTATTGGCCACCGTATTACTTTTGCCCACGCAGTGAAGGACGATGCGACAGCGTCGACGGGCCTTTCCTTTATATTTATATTTTCCTCACTGCTGCTTTGAACGTCTCTCTTACACAATCAATCTCATCTGATATACCAGTGCGTCAGTAATTGGTTGCCTTCACATTGTCCACTTAACAGGTGTTTTAGCCGCAACAACCATGACGAACGTTGATGAGCTCTTTAAAGTGAGTTCCAACTCCGTTTACTTAACGAAGGCATATCTGACGCGCAAAGAAACCATCTGCGACAGGGAGCGCTAAGCGCAAGTTCGAGCCCGTCCAAGATCCAAGTACGCACTTTCCCCGCAAACGCGCTGGTCGCAAATCCTGACGATACCCAACAGATGAGCTCTACAAATCAGCAAAATTAGATGCAAGTGGGGATGTGAGATCAAAGGGAAAATCCCCCATGGTGGAGGACGAGATTGACGACGGTGAAGCTGGACCCGAGCTCCCTCCAGACTTCGAGGAGGACGTCCCAGACGACGAGGAGGGCCGCTTCTTCGGCGGTGGAATGGAGCAGAAGACAGCTCAAGCAATGGAATACATTGACCAGCAAGAGGAAGACGAAGCTCCGGTACGGAACTTGTGGTGCACAATATATTTGTCCTGGTGCTGACAGTGCTCATCTAGGCCGAGAAGTTCGACTCTGTATGGGTGCGCCGCTTCGCATTGAATTTTGAGAAGAAGATCTCCAAGAATGCCGAACTACGAGCAAAGTTTGAGAGTGATCCGCAAAAGTAAGTGGATGCCGGAACAGCTATATGTACTAGGTGCTAATTATGCTGCAGGTTCATGATTTCGGAGGCCGACCTGGATACTGAAATCAAAGGCTTGTCCATCCTGTCTGAGCATTCTGATCTATACGAGGAATTTGCCAAGATGGGATGCGTCGCATCATTGACCTCTCTATTGTCACATGAAAATGCCGACATTGCAATTGATGTCGTCCAGATTATTAATGAATTGACAGACGAGGATGTGGAGGCAGAGCAAGAACAATGGGATGCTCTTGTTAACGCAATGGTATGCTGTGGTATGGTACTATCAGTAACTACGCTAATTATGACTAGATGGAGGCCGATCTCATCGAATTGCTCGCTCAAAATCTCTCCCGACTCGATGAAGGGTCTGAGACAGACCGAGCTGGAGTATACTATGTGCTAGGTGGGTATCCATTATAATTAATAATGGGAGGATTTACTAATTAAATACAGGTGTAATGGAAAACCTGGCCTCCCAGACATCACATGCGGAGAAAATTGGACAGGACGCTGCAATTTTGCCCTGGATCTTGTCCCGCATTCAGCGAAAAGAAGCAGCGGTTAGCCAAAACAAACAATATGCCGCAGAAATACTGGCAATCCTTTTACAGTCTACTCCAAAGAACCGCACGAAGTTTATTGAGCTCGACGGCATCGATATCCTCCTCCAGCTGCTCAGTGCGTACCGTAAACGGGACCCAGCTAAGGACTCCGACGAGGAAGAATACGTGGAGAATCTCTTTGACGCTTTGATCTGTCTTGTCGAGGAAGACGCAGGGAAAGACAAATTCGTGGAGGCCGAAGGAGTTGAGCTTGCGCTGATCATGCTCAAGGAAGGCAAATTCAGTAAGCCACGTGCTTTGAGGGTTCTTGACCACGCCTTGGGCGGAGTGGGAGGTGCACCGGCCTGCGAGAGGTTGGTCGAGGCAGCTGGCCTGAAGACAGTTTTCGGAATGTTCTTGAAGAAGGTAAGCTCGGTCTTTCATAGTCAAATTGCGTTGTGCTAATATTCATCCAGCAAGAGGGTCAAACCATTGAACATTTCTTAGGGATCTTTGCCTCCCTTCTCCGTCTTTTGCCTGGTGGTTCTGCTACCCGCATCCGGACGTTGGCCAAGTTTATGGAGAAGGACTATGCGCGAATCGAAAAGCTCGTCAGTCTCCGGCGCGAGTATGCCGCGCGCGTGTCACCTGTCGAACAAGCCATCGAGAAAGAGCGCAGAACGTTTGATAAGGAAGAGCAAGAACTTATGGCTGGCGAATGGTTGTCGAGGCGGTTGGACGCGGGTCTATTCTCATTAGAGGTATGATTCTTCTTCTGCGCTGGCAAGGCTCTTTGCTAACTGTTCCAGACAATTGATGTTATTTTGGCATGGCTCATTGCCGAAGATGATGGAGCGAAAAGGAAAATCGTCTCACTTCTTGCGGGCCGTGACGAAGATTTATCCCTGATCCGCGGGACTTTGCAAGGTGAGTACCCTACATCGCTATAAATAGTCGGCGCTAACTCGAGCAGAACAAATCGAAGGTCTCGGAGAGGATGAACCGGGCCATAAGGACTTGAAGGACATGCTGAGCACTCTTTTGCAGTTTGTTTGAACGACGACGGAATTGTAATGTATCATAATATCATTGTTATCAACAAATCACATCCACAGGGTCCACACCTAGAGGTTTTATAGAGGAAGGTTTCGCGTAAAATGCGTTTGTCGCTATATAAATTTTTGTATGGGTATGTACATTAACCTTAATTCTTGCGACGCGTCTACGACCATCACGGCGCAATACAATTCATACAATT